TGGCAGAATTAGTATTTCGGTAAGAGAAGTTCAGGGCACTCTTGCAGCTCAAAGGGGGAATGGAGAAGGCTTCATAAGAGGTGTGGCTGCTGAGTAGGACTTATCTATTTAAGTAAAGCATAGGGTAGAGGAGGAGGAGGGAGGCAGAGGAAATGCCATCTGAATACCTGGGATAAATAAAAACATTGGTACATTTTACAAATAATGGCTGAAATTTAGAGTGCAGAGGGAGTATGGCTTAAGAGGTATAAAGGTAAAGATACTCAGAGCCCAGGGATTCCCCTATATGAATAAGGAGTTTGGAATTTATTCTGATGAGAATGGTAGCTGGAAGCCACTGATAAGTTTAAAGCAGAAAAAAATAATAAAATATTGATTTTTTTAAAAGCTCTATCTGGCTGGGTGTGGTGGCCCACACCTGTAATCCTAATGGCTCAGGAGCCCTGAGGCAGGAGGATTGTAAGTTCAAAGCCAACCTCAGCAATTTAGTGAGGCCCTAAGCAACTCAGTGTGGCTCAACTGTTAAATACCCCTGGGTTCAATCCCCAGTACCCAAAAGAAACAACTCTCTGTCCACTGTGTGGGGGAATGGATTAGAGATGGCTGGCTAGGTGCAGGAAGACTGTTGTAATAATTTAGGTGAAAGACAATAACAGCAGTAGAGCCATAAACAAGGGGGTGGGTTTGAGATACTTTTAGTGGGTAGAATCAAAACAATTTGATTGCTGTGGGAGTAAAAAGAGGAAGCCAGACACGATGTATTCATATTTGCAGTCACATTGTCTTTGTTTTTTTCTCTTTCCTACATATATGTATTTTTAAAATTTTGTTCTAATTTGTTATTCATGACAGTAGAATGAATTTTGACACATTGTCCTTGTTTTTGTGCCTGGCACATATTGGGCAAGTGTTTTCCTTGGGGCTTATGTACTAGGTTTCCTCTGTTAGCCCCACATGTTTATATGGCTGGCTCCTCTGCATTCAGATCTCAACACAAGTCAGTTTCTCAAACTTTCTTCCCTTCCTACCCTTCAAATAGCCAATGGCAGCCACCTTGCCAGGTACTGTTTGTCATTTCCATGTTTTATTTTCCATCATTTATCAATATTTGAAATAATCTTGCTTTTTTCCATTTTATTTTATTCTATCCTACCTTAGCTTACTTATCACTCTACGGGAATGTCAGCTCCATTAAAATAGGCAGCTTATCTGCCTTGCTTATCACTAAATACTATTATTTGAAAAGAGCCTGGCAAGTAGAGGGCACTCCTATTTATTTTAGGAAGTGTATCTCTTGCCAGTTCTCTTCCTATTCTAAATTCCAACTATGCCAAACAAATTGTAGTGCTGTAAAAATGCCAGACGAATTTGCTTATACTTCTTCCTCTGTATAGAATTCCCTTCTTACCCTCATTATATTGCTTTACCTTGTCTGTTTTCCCATTGGAAATAAGCAAGTTAAGGGCATCATGTGTCTCAAACATCTAGCCAAGATAGATAACAGGCACTCAGTAAATGTTTATTGGGATAGATCACTTGGGAACTTGTTAGAATTACAGAATATTGGCCTTCACCCCAGATCAACTGAATCAGAATCTGTTTTGAGCAAGGCCTCTAAAAGGTTTATTTACATATCAAAACTTGAGTAGCACTGTGTTAGTGATGGTCATACAGATAACACAGAGCCTAAATTTAACTGGAAGGCTTTGTACTGATCTATTATGGAAGGCAGAAGTAGTCAAGAAAAGCAGATGACATTGGGTATTGACAAACCTGGCTGGAATTTTTGTTTAAACCAGTTACAACACAAGTCGTTGTGAAATATTAGATATGAAAGTGGTGTATTGTAGGTGCTTAATAAATGATAGTATCTTTCTCCCTTGGAAGATTCTAAGACTAGAACCAGAGTTAGAAAAGACCTTCACATAGATACCATATATTTTAGCATTTGTGTTTCTAAAGATTTTCAAACTAAATTAAAAAACAATCAGTTTCTCCAAAGAATACTGACATTCATTTGAGAATAACAAGTTGCTGAGGCTGGTCTTTTAAAAAAAATTTTTTTTTGTACAGATCAACATTGTGCCTTTACTTGTTTATTTTTTTAATGCAGTGCTAAGGATTGAACCCAGTGCCTCACACATGCTAGGAAAGCGCTCTGCCACTGAGCCACAGCTCCAGCCCTTTAAAACTGGTCTTGACATTGCCACCCTCTTGCCTTGGCCTCTCAAGTCACTGTGATTACCATGCCGGTTTACATCCAATATTCTGAAACAACAGTCCTTGGTCATAATGATTAATAACAAGAGTGGTGTCAGTGTAAAGTTGAATATATCATTCCTGGGAGATATCCCTGTGGAAGTACTTTTTGTATAAGGTTTATGGTACCCTCTATGCCAGCTTGTGGTTCTGGAAGTCTTTTGTGATGGCTGGCTATTATCAGGCAACCATATGCAAGAACCTTTTCTTCATAACCTTCCAATTTCATTTACTTTTTGTTGTTAGGACTGACACAAGTGACTCCATTTTGATTGATAACTTCCACTTGTCTTTCACAAGATATGGAAAGGGCTAGAGTTGTGGCTCAGTGGTAGAGCACTTGCCTCACAAGTGTGAGGCACTGGGTTTGATCCTAGCACCACATAAAAACAAATAAAGGCATTGAGTCCACATATAACTAAAAAAAAAAAAAAAAAAAAGATATTGAAACTAAGGCTCACAGTTAGCCAGAGAGCTTCCTTATTTGTAAAATCACTAAACTAAAATTGTTTCCCCAATTTGTTTCATATGTGACATCTAATTCTACAGAAGTATATGAATTTTTTTTTAAATGCAAGGGAAATGGGGTGTGGTACATATGGTTGCCTGATAGTAGCAATTCTATCAAAATAAAATCCCAAAATAAGTAAAGGCTTTTCTATATAGTTTTTTATAATAATCAATTGAAGAGATTTACTAATATGGAGCAAAAGATAAGTCTAGGAATGTCCCTCTTATATGGTGAAGTAAATGAAGCAATTGATTTATGAGAATAGAGAATTTGGGAGGATAATCCTATATCTGTTTTCAGTGAAAATACGGTTATTATTATTATAATTTTAAAATTTGTTATAATTAGTTATACATGAGCTGCGGAATGTTTTTTAACTCATGGTACACAACTGGAGCACAACTTCTCTTTTCTCTGGCTGTACATGATGTAGAGTCACACTGTTTGTGCAATCATATGTGTACACAGGGGGTAATAATATATGTTCCATTACACCCTCCTCCCCACCTCCCCACCCCCTTCCTCTCCTTCCCTCTGCTCAATCCAAAGTTCCTCCATTCTTCCCTAGCCCCCCACCCCCATTATGAATCAGCATCTGCATACAGAGAAAACATTTGGCCTTTGGTTTTTGTGGGATTATCTTATTTCACTTAGCATGATATTCTCTAACTACATCCATTTACCTACAAATGCTATAATTTCATTCTTCTTTAATGCTGAGTAATATTCCATTGTGTATATATACCACATTTTCTTTATCCATTCATCTTGAAGGGCATCTAGGTTGTTTCCATAGTTTAGCTATTGTGAACTGACCTGCTATAAACTTTGGTGTGGTTGTGTCACTGTAGTATACAGAGAAAATAAGATTATTGCCCATGGCCGAATAGAACAGCAACAACAAAAATGTCTTGCTGTAGGAGTTTCCATATGTAAATCCTATGTTGGCCTTTTATTGCTTGGCTTGTGCTCTTCTTTCTTGGCTCTTCTTGATGCTTCATTCCATTCTCTAATCTTTCTGGTTTTGATTCTCCTCTTCCTTAAACATAAGGTAAGGTTTCAGTAGACTGAGATAAGGGGGTAGTTTATTCTGGAATAGGGCTGGAGGCTGGGCCAGGGAATAAGACCAACACTTCCCTGGCCCACTTAACTGGAGGAAAGTCAAGAGATCTGGGTATTTTTTCTGCCACTAGCCTTGACATTATTCCTCAAATAAGAAGTTGCACTGAATAGCTTGTAATTGTAAAGCTCTGAATAGGTGGCTCTAGGAGTAGCAGCCCTAAGTATAGACAAAGGAAGATAGGAAATGGAAAGGACAAGGAATGAGGAGTGATTGAAGAGGTAGGGAATAGGAAAGAAAAAGCTTACAGGTGAGGCTTGATGGTTCAGAAGGGTGGAAAAGTATGCCTTATCCTTTTGCATAGGTATTACTTTGAGTTAAAGACACTTAAAAAATAAAAATACTAGATGAAAGAAAGGTACTTTTAACCTTACCCTCTTTCTGAAAGCAGGAGATAAAACTTCCACATGGAAGATAGTTTCCCTGTATCAAAAGTAACGTCAAGAATGGAAGTTGAGAGGTCTGTACAGACGTTATTAAAATAGTTTTACTTTAGCCTACTCACATTTTTTTCACAATTGCCTTGTTGTTCAATGTAACATAAAAACACTTAGGTTTTGCCTAATTTGGGGGACTTCATTTCCTTCTTATAGCAGTCACGGAAAAACTCACATTAAATAAAATTGTATGCTTTTCTTCGGTTGCTCTGTTGGTTTAATTCGTAGGCCCAGCCAAGAAACCTTAAGAGGGTAGAGGTAAATTTTGTCTCCCTTACAGCTTTTTGCCAAAAAATTGACTTTCCTATTAGAAGAACTGAACTGGTGGGGATGGAGTCTCCAATCAATAAACTAAGGTGACCCCTATTTTATTCTGTTTTTAGGCTTCCAGGATTCTAGAAAGACCAGCAATGCTGTGGGGTAAATAGGGGAAAGGAAAGAGAAAGGAGGAGGGATCAGTGAGGAAAGTTAGAGAGAAGGTGGTTGGGGCGGCCGCCAGGCGGAGCCCAAGCTTACGCGTCCCTGCATCCGGGCCGACTTACAGGTAGCTTTGACTACATTTCCCAGGCTGCACCGCCTGGGGCAGTCCTCTTTTCCGCTAGCTCCGCCCCCTTCCCAGGGCCCCGCCCCCGCCCGGCGGCCCAGCTCTGCGCCCGCCCGACTTCCCAGCGGCCCCGTGCGGCCCGGGCATGCCCAGTGCGGGCGCAGCGGCCCCGGCCCTGGGAGCGCCCCGGCGGAGCGGGCGGCCGGGCGCGGAGGGGCCGAGGCGGTCCGCGGTGGGCGAGGGAGCTGCTGGTAGGTGCGAGCTACGGTGACCCAGGGCTCGGAGTGACCGCGCCGCCGGTTCAGGGCGACAGGGGCCGTTAGGGCGTGTGAAGGCAGGCAGGGCCGGAGAGTGGGTTGTGAGGTTTCCCGCAGTGACTGCGGGAGACGACCCTTGACAGGAAGGGACCTCGGACGGCAAGGATCCGCCGGGAACGGGCCAGGCCGCAGCGCTGTACGCTGCTGTGAAGAGCTTCTCTCCAGCTGGCGGCGCGGCTATCTTTAGTTTTCCCTGTGACCAGACGTGAGCGTGGTCCGCATCTCGTGCACAGCTGTGGTTAGGGAGAGTACCTGTTTTCAGCTTAATTGCCCAGGAGCTACGGGAGAGACGGGCCCAAGCGCCAGGGATGCGGAGGCAGTCGGTGAAGCCCAGTGAGAAGTGAGGATGTTTACCTTCGCCGTACCTGGAGTGGGATATTCCGGTTTCCTGCTTTCTCAGACTTGAGTTTATGGCTTAGAAATCAAAGTGCGGGACTGTGCCTCAGTAGATACCCCCTCTGTTGTAATGACTGTCAAGAATTTAATGTGGAGCTGTATTTCAAGGTTTAAAAAAGCTTATATGTCCATGGGACTTTCGGTTTAAACAAAAGCCCTCCTTGCATAGCTTAAATAAAAAGAAGTCCTCATCGAGGGGATAGAACGTCAGGGTTCTGAAGTTTGCTGTATTTGTCATTTGCTTGTTGTAATGCTGGACAAGCGATTTAACGTATGAGACTCAATGCTCCCCCTGTAAAATGCTGTGAACCAGATGCATCTTAATCCCCTCATTTGCAGGATCCCCCCGGTGTCATTCAGCCTGTGTGTCTCAAATTGTGGCAGGTTATTTTTATCTGTGCCTCAACTGTTTGTCAAACTAGATAATTCATACCAACTCTTCTTGTAGAAAATGTTAGGATGTCAGTATAAAATTGAAGTGACTTGTCCTTCAAAGGCCATTGGTCAGTAGGTACCCTGCCGGTTGGTACATGCAGAAGCCAGGTATTAACTGGCTGATTCAAATAACAGCGGTTCTGGATTGGGACAGACAGACATGTTTCAGGCTCCCTGTCAGTGCCTTGTAAGAAATACAGACAAATGCTCCGGAGGCTGAGGTAGGAGGATTGCAAGAGCAAAGCCAACCCCAGCAACTTAGCCAGACCCTAAGCAACTTAGCAACCCTGTCTCAAAATAAGAAATATAAAAAGGCTGGGAATGTGGCTCACTGGTTAAGTGCTTCTGGGTTTGATCTGCAGGATTTAAAAAAAAAAAATCCTGATGAAGTAATGGGCTTCCTCACACCTTTAAGCTGGCACATTCTTTAGTGGGATTGTGTTTATATAGAATCCTAAGGATTTCTTTTTTGTTTTGTTTTTTTTAATTCCATTGCATTTTGTACTAAAAATATATATATACGAAGAATTTCAGTGCTCTTAATTTATATGTAAGCAAATAGCTAAGAGGGTGGATTCATGATAGTCTTAAAACTGTTTCTTGTTCATTATTGAATACTTATCATTCACCTGGCTCTGAGTCTTCACTACAGCCTTGAGAACCCTGTCTGTACCTGTGCTCATATGCTTGAACTCTGAAGTATATGTTTCTAGGAGGGAAGAGTAGGAGTATTAACTGAATGTTAACTGTAGAAACTTCTGTTCCTGAAGTGAGCACATCTGGATAGGATTTGACCTAAGAAGCTGATAGTAAATATAATGTTGTGCAGGTTGTCTTCTTCTGCTGCATTCCCTGCTCTACCAGTTTTGAATGGCATTAGTCCAGTTAGGTCAATGAGGTGCTCTTCAGTGAAGTGTATAAAGGTCAGGGAAGGTGTACTTATGTTTTGAAATTTGGAACTTTTTATAAATTGCTTGTGAAATTGTTATATTAAGGTTATACCTTTTCTTTTTCTTTCTTTCCTTATTTTAATTAGGTATATATGATAGCAAAATGCATTTCGATTCAATGTACACAATTGCAGCACAGTTTTTCATTTCTCTGGTTGTACACGATGTAGCATCACACCCTATGTGTAATCTTAAGTGTACCTAGGGTAATGATGTCTATCTTATTCTATCATCTTGTGTGCCCCCATGCACCTTTCCCTAAGGTTATACCTTTTGAGAGAGAGAGAGAGAGAGAGAGAGAGAGAGAGAGAATTTCAATATTTATTTTTTAGTTTTCAGCGGACACAACATCTTTGTTTGTATGTGGTGCTGAGGATCGAACCCGGGCCGCATGCATGCCAGTCGAGTGCGCTACTGCTTGAGCCACATCCCCAGCCCCAAGGTTATACCTTTTAAACTGAGGACCCCACAGCATGATTTAGTGAGGCTGGAGATAGAATAGAATACTAAGTTCTTAAAAAATTTCTAGGAGCTGGGGATATAACTTTGTGTGTGGGCCAGTTGTACCTGGGGCCTTTGGTTTGATCCCCAGCATGGAAGGGTGGGAGTATTTCTGCAAGTGAATTTTCCATTCACCTTAAATACTATTTATACATGTGAACTCTCAGTTGCTTAACTTTTTTGTGTGTGTGATGCTGGGGATTGAATCCAGGGCCTTGTGCAGGCAAGGCAAGCATTCTACCAACTGAGCTATATCCCCAGCCCTCAATTGCTTAACTTTTGAAGCCATATTTCCCATTTACCCAAGAAATAAAATGAAAACCCTTATTGTTTTGAGGAATATTTATACATATGAACTTTTTCTGGTCTAATGTATTTTTTTTTTTTTTTTTTTTTTGTATTTTTTGGTGCTGGGGATTGAACCCAGGACCTCACACATATTAAGCACATATTGCTATACCACCAAGCTACACTCCTAGCCTTGGCCTAGTTTAAAATTACTCTGTTGCATGCTTATTACACTTATATACACATTTATATAAAGTTAAAAAACATAGACCTATTTGGAGGTCTTGGTAGGTAGCTTCACATTATAACTGAAAACTCTGTGTTCTTCAGGTCTCTGTGTCTGAAAGAAGTACATATTTAGTAATTTTTAGAACTTTTTCTTGCTTATATTTTCATTCAAGTGTGGAGGATATGATATGCAGCAAACATAAGAATTGCTTAAGAGGATATTAAAATGCTATTTTTACCCATCTCTAAATCCTCAAAAAAGCTTGGAGTCTGTGGTAGGAATAGTTTGGGACACCAACATTCAGAGGAGAACAGTGTTCTAAGCACATTTACCTCAAATAACAATAAAAGGGTGGTAGCTGGGTATGGTGACCCATGCCTGTCACCATGCCCAGCTACCATGTCCCAGCATTTGCAATCCCATATACTCAGGAGGCTGAGGAAGTTGTTTTTTAAAATTTTTTTATTTATTATTCTTTTTAATTATACTAGACAGTAGGATGTATTTTGACATTTGTACATACATTGAATATAACTTCTCATTCTTGTGGTTTTACATAATGTGGAGTTACACTGGTCATGTATTCATATATGAACATAGGAAAGTAATGTCTGATTCATTCTACCATCTTTCTATTCCCATCCCCCCTCTTTTCCCTTCTTCTGATCCAAAGTACTTCTGTTCTTCCCTCCTCCTCTCCTCTTACTGTGTGTTAGCAGCTGCATAAAGGTTTGCAAGTTTGAGGCCAGCCTGGGCAAGTTTTTGAGACCCTGTCTCAAAAATTAACAAAGGGATGGGGTGTAGCTTAATGGTACAGCAACCCTGGGTTCAATTCCCAGTGCTTGGGGGAGAAAAAAAAATCCAGGTGCACAGAGATTGCACCTGAAGTCCTAGCTACTCCCCAGCTACTCAGGAGGCCTAGGTTCCTGGAGCCTAGGAGTTCAAGAGCAGCCTGTACAACATGGTGAGACTCCATTTCAAAACAAACAAGCCAACCCAACAAATAATTACATGGGTTTTAAGTTTCAGCAGTTATAGGTCATAGCCTCACTTAGTTCACTGTGTTAGTGCTGGAATCTATTGCTCCCCTGTTTGAGGCACAGGAATAGGTGGTCATCATGTAGAGGTGTGCACCAAGTAATATCTTTAAGATAAATATTTTTCTTCCATTATGTACCATCTGTTTCCAGGTCCTTCATGATGAGAGATTTTGGGGTGCTTCTCTCTCTTCTGTGTAGTTGACAGTCTGGGTGGTGAGGAGATGGCTGACAGTGTCAAAACCTTTCTCCAGGACCTTGGCAGGGTGAGTACATCTTATTTCAAGGAGTTTTCCCTTAGACCTTTTTGCTAAGAAACTGACTATGAAATTCTTTGAGTGTTCTTGGAGATTTTACATTTTGGGGTCCTTCATATACAGGTTTTCATTTTAGTTCACACTACTCAGATAGAAATTTATTGTGTACCCTATAGGAGCTTGGAAGACCTGTCCAGTGAGTATTTGTAGTATTGGAGCCCTGGTCAGTTAAATTTTAACTTTTTATTTTGAGATAGATTAAGAATTAAGAATTATAGAAAAGTTGCAAGATAGTACAGTTACTGTATATCCTTTACCAGCTTCCCCAAATGTTAACACCTTGTCTGATTATGATACATTTGTCAAAACTAAAAAATAAACATTGCTACAGTACTATTACTTCAACTACTTTATTTGAATTTATATTATGTAACCTATTTTTTTTTTTAACTCCCATTTTACAAGTACAGGTGAGGAGGGTGCTCTAAGAAAATGCCCTATAAAGGTGTGTTTAGGACTTAGTCACCCAAATTTTCAGTGTTACAAGATTCTGTTACTTGTGGTGGATGTCTGGCGTCCAGTGTCTCCTCTGGAACCTCTCTTGCCATATTCTGAGCAGGAGGAGGTTCTTCCTTTAGTGAGAGTTTAGAAGGTTATTGCCTTACAGTAAAAAAGGAGAAATCAAAGGAGTATTATAGAAGGGCTAAAGAGATTATGCAATATGATCCACTTTTAATACCTTTATCTTCTATTCTCACATTCTTGAGCTATAAAATTTCAACCCTGGATCAGTTCTACAATGTGTTTCCCTACCTTACTATACTGTATCTAATAGGTGGGGATCCTGTAAGCATACTAGGTAGGCCATTGGCTATTTGAATTGCATTTTCTCAAAGATTGGAGTTTTCTGATTAAAAAATTTATCGGTGGAAGATTTAAAGGTTAAAAGCAAAAATAAAACTAAAAGTTACTCAAAAAAAGGTCAGATGCACACTATCAGTTTATGCTGTCATCAGTAGGTAGCACAGGCTTGGTTATTTCTCTGTCTCCTGCTGGTATTTCTAATATTTGTTTTGCCTAATAGCAGTTGATGAGAATGCTATCCTTAAATCCAGCTTGGCCATTACCTTCAGAACACCATTCTTTGCCTTTTCCTGAAGTTGAACACCCCAGTGCTGTCATTTTACTTTAGACATAAATCTGTGTGGTACTTATTGAACTATAACATAATTTTGGGGGTTTATTTGTGTACTTTTCTGGCTAATTTACAAATTTCTTGAGCATTTTTATGACCAAGATGTATCTCATTGAAGATTCTCAATATGTGGTTGATTGAGTAGCTGGATAGGTGGATGGATAAGTAAATGTAGTTCTTTGGACTAGGTGACAGGTAATTTTGGTATTTATACTACCAACACTTAAACCTGGAACTTTTCATGTTTGGCTGGCAGGTGCCTCTGTTACTGTCTTTATAGACTTAACTCTTTTTCTCATCATATATTCATTAAGGATATTTTCTCTTCGCGCTACCCTACCATATTCTTATGTTTTTCTATTGTATGTGGTGTTCTCTTATCCTAGGGCTTCACATTTTATAATAATTTTTTTCTTTCATTCTTATAACAGTAATTATTTCTTTACATGTCTTTCTCTAATTTTGGTTGTCCAGCCCTAGTCCTTTCTAGAGATCAGTTTTATTTATCCTTGTATCTTTAGATTTAGTGCAGGATACAGGAAATGCTATAGATATTTAATCGATAATGTAGAGTATATAGGGGAAACAACAATTTGGCATCATAGTATTGATGAATATGGAGGAGTTGGAAAACTGTTTTGCAACCATGTTTTTCAAGATTGGTTTGGGCAAGAATTGGTGCTAAATCTAGAGGGGAGAACTTAATAAGCAGGATATTAGCATGAGTTTGGAAGTGTCTCCTCAAAGATTGCTTATTAGTTTCAAGAGGAAAACATTTGCACCATATAATAGAGAAACTGGACAATACCTTGACTGTAAAATTAACATAATTACAAGGGGAAAGAGCTATCATGTATTTTTTTTTTCTTTCTTCATTACTGGTGACTGATCTAGACCTCACACGTGTTAGGCTAGTGTTCTGCTACTAAGCTGCATCCCTAGCCCTTTTTTTAAAAAAAATTTATTTTGAGACAGGGTCTTGCCAAATTACCTAGGCTTTCCTTGAACTGCCATCCTCCTACCTCAGCCTCCTGTGTAGCTGGGATTATAGGTGTGTGCCACTGTTCCTGAGGATATCATGTGCCACTTGATGTGATACCTTGAAAGGTACATCATCACTTCTGTGATATTCCTGCTAAAAATGCTTAATGGGATCTAATTATGAGGAAACAAATCTCAGTTTGAGGGAATTTCATAAAATAGCTGGCCTGTATTTTTATGTATTGGGAATTGAACCCAGGGCACTTTACTACTGAAGGTACTTCCCCAGTCCTTTGTATTTATATCCCTAAGTTGCTCAGTCTGACCTCAAACTTGCCTGCCTCAGTCTCCCAAGTCACTGGGATGATAGGTATGTGCTACCATGCTTTGCTGGCCTGTATTATTCAAAAAGAACTACAAAGGCTAAAGAATTATTGCTGATTTTAAGAGACTAAAGAAACATGATAACTAAATGCTAGATATGATTCTGGACTGAACTTTTATTATTTTTTTTCCAGTATTGGGATTGAACCCAGGGGTGATTTACTGCTGAGCTATATCCCCAGTCTTTTTGTTTTTAATTTTGAGACAGGGTCTCACTCACTGAGTTCCTGAGGGCTTTGCTAAATTGCTGAGGCTGGACTTAAATGAGCTGTTGGAATTATAAGCATACACCACTTCACCAGGCTGGACTGAACTCTTCTGGGGTGAAATGCCTTAGAGGGCATTATTGGGACAAATGGAGGAAATTGTGATGTGTACTATAAAATATTTTAGTATTAAATTTTTTGAATAACTATCTTGGTTATATAAAAACATTTTTCTTAGGAAATACACACTGAAAAATTAAGAGAACATGATACAGTAATCTATTCAAATGATTCAGGAAAAAAATGTAAGTATTTGTTAATATGACAAAATATTAAATTGATAAATCTTGAAAAAATATATTTGGAAGTGCGCCATTATTCTAGCAACTCTTCTGGAAGCTGGGAATCATTTTAAAAAATTAAAAGAAAGAGAAACTAAGGGTCGAGGGTATAGTTCAGTGGTAAAGTGTTTGCCTATTATGTATGAAGCCCTGGGTTTGATTCTTAGCACTTCCAAAAAGGGATATATCTATATTTAATTATATATGTGTGTGTGTGTGTGTGTGTGTGTATGTGTATACACACATACTGTACTTGTATACATATATATATATATATATATATATATATATATACACACACACACATACATATTAAAAGGTCCTTTAAGCTCTGTAACTAACTAAATAAAATGGTTTCCATTCTTACTTATCTATATGTAACTGTGGAAAGTCTTCTCCAATCCATAATCTCCTCTTGAAAAATATCCTTCTCTATAGGGAATCAAAGACTCCATCTGGGGTATTTGTACCATCTCAAAGCTAGATGCTCGAATCCAGCAGAAAAGAGAGGAGCAACGTCGAAGAAGGGCAAGTAGTGTCCTGGCACAGAGGAGAGCCCAGAGTATAGAGCGGAAGCAAGAGAGGTAAGGAGTATAGGACCATGTCAGAAAATGTCCCAGGGAGAGGCACATTAGAAGTGACTGATTCTTAGGAATAATAACGACCTACAGAGTAACTTAAAGTTTCAGCATTCCATTGTTTTTTGTGTTTCTTCACAGAAAGATGTTATGGTTGAATCATTCCCCCCACACTGACGTAAATTAGGATCTAGTAATATACCTTGCTTAAAATTTCATAATGTTGCCAAGTGCCGAGGTGCTGTAATCCCAGTGATTGGGGAGACTAAGACAGGAGGATCACAAGTTGAGGTCAGCCTCAGTAACTTATCAAGGCTTTCAGCAACTTAGTGAGACCCTGATTCAAAAAGTAAAAAGGGCTAGAGATGTAGCTTAGTGGTAAAGCTTCCCTGGGTTAAATTCCTAGTACCAATACATTCATGATGTTTGAAAAAGAACAGAATGCTAAATAAAGAACCAAAAACAACAACAGGTGTTATTTGGTTTATTTGTAGGAAAGCCTATGTAGATTGATTTATTGATAGAAGAACCCCAACCAAAGCCTTTCTCTTTTGATCTTCTCTAACCTACCTCATTGTTCAGAACATATATATTTGTGTGTGTGTTTGTGGGTTTTTTTTTTAAATCTGGTTCCTCAGAAGTATTTTTAATCTTTTCTCATTGACTGAATTACAAAATTGGAACACTGGGGGAACATTAGGTGCTGAAAAATAATGTGGTGCCAATGGAAGGAATAAAATGGAAAGCTACCAAACTGACAATTAGGAAGTAACCTAATTTATATGCATTATAAACTAAATGCGTATGGTCTTTTCCAGTGAGCCACGTATTGTTAGTAGAATTTTCCAGTGCTGTGCTTGGAATGGTGGAGTATTCTGGGTAAGTTCTTTTCTCTCAAATTCTGGGTGCTTTATAAATATCTTCAGATTGTTGTTGTTTTCTTGAAATGCTAAGACAAATAGCTTTGAACTGTTTATATGCATTTAATATAACTCAGGTTTCTGTGCACCTATAGTGATTTTATTCCCACTCAAGAAAGAACACACTGTATGTAAACAAGTGTCAGGAATTGTCCTGAATATATACTTAGTTTCTTTATTTTAAATGACTCATTCACAAGTTTTAGTATTGTTATAGATAACAATTTCTGTTGACAGTACATAGACATTTTGGCTAAGAGATCTATGGGGCTCAGAGGAAAAGGGCAGATATGATTGAACAAGGTTCTTCTCACATCTGATCATATGTATTGAATAGAATTGATTACTGTTGAAACCCAGAGCAGAAAACGTTGTCTATGGTTAATTGAGAACCAATGTACACTTAAGTGGAATTTGGGTACTTTAAATATGAAGTTAAATATTTTCTTTGACTTGGAATTCAGTAATTCAATTTATCTTAATCTAAACATTTCACAAATATTTTAAGATGCTGGCTTTAGATTTAACTAATAAGCATTATCACGTACTTAGCATATTCCTCTATATTTTGTCCCGAATACTATTTGAAGTATTCTTCTTTGTACCAAAAAGTTTGCAGTATCAGGTTTGTACCTCGTAGCTGGAGTTCTGGAAAATAGAAATGAATCTGATTCCTTGGTTGTTCTTCAAGCTTCCTGATTTATATTAGGCATTCCCATCTGAAAAATCATTACTGAAGTTTGAAACTCTTATATTAAAGAAGGACTTTTGATGCTTACCTTATTGCTTCTTTCCTGTAGTTCAGTCTCCTCTTGTTTTACCGTGTGTTTATTCCTGTGCTTCAGTCAGTAACAGCCCGAATTATTGGTAAGTACATACTTACTTCTTGTTGTCTGATAGGCATGGAGAGGGGAGATGATGTTTCTACTTTTTCTCAAAAGTTTTAGATGTTTTTAACTTAGACCTCTCAATAATCCTTTGAGATAAGAACTGTTGTTCTATCCATTTTGTGAATGAAGAAATAAAAGTTATTACTATAGTTCAACTGTTAAATAGGTGGCAGAGCTGTGATTTTAAAACCAGGTGGTTTCTTGCTAATTGTGTTCTGTTAGTCACTGTGACATTTCAGTTTCCGCCTTGTAAACAGGTTTGTTCCAAGATAAGCAGCATGTGTCTATGGCTACGCTGAATTGGAGCTGTGGCTAGAATATGGTGTGTTTACTATGAATAAGACTCTTTGAGTTAGGTATCATGGTATACTGGCAAGAAACAGGAAATGTGTGGGGGGAATAAAGAATATTTGCAAAATAGGGGTTCCATGTTTGGTCTTCTGATTTCCCATTTCTTTAATTAAACTACTACTCTTTTTCCCTTTTCTTAGGGGATCCATCACTACATGGAGATGTTTGGTCGTGGCTGGAATTCTTCCTCACATCAATTTTCAGTGCTCTTTGGGTGCTTCCCCTGTTTGTGCTTAGCAAAGTTGTGAATGCCATTTGGTTTCAAGTAGGTCCAGGGCAGAATGGAGTCTGGGTCCTACAGCATGATGGGTTGACAGGTGACAAGTTTTAGCCTGTGAAGTTAGTGGTATATAATGCCCTAATATATCTATATATCTATTTTTTTTTTTTGCTGGGAATTGAACCCAGGGTTGCTTAACAATTGAACCACATCCCCAGCCCTTTTAAAAAAATTTTTATTTTGAGGCAGGGTCTCATTGAGTCACTTAGGACCTTGCTAGGTTGCTGAGGTTAGTGTCAAACTTGCAATCCTCCTGTCTCAGCTTCCTGAGCTTTTGGAGTTACAGGTGTGAGCCACCGTGCCTGGCAGGACCTATTTCTTAGCCTTAATTTTTCTTGGCTAAGCAGCCAATGAATGATCTATGTGCTCTTGTAAAATGGAATCATTATCTTAGTGCATTGAAGCATCTCATTGACAGATGTCTGGGGCTTTTCTTTCCTGGCAATTCTAGTGAAAGACCAGTGGTATTAGTTTTGGATATAGGTAACAAGGGCAATTATTCATGTTTTGGTGCACCATTTTCTGTGTTACAGGATATTGCTGACCTAGCATTTGAGGTATCAGGGAGGAAGCCTCATCCATTCCCTAGTGTCAGCAAGATAATTGCTGACATGCTCTTCAACCTTTTGCTACAGGCTCTTTTCCTTATTCAGGTGAGACTGGCCTTCTGGACAAATTTTAAAAAGTTGCACTAGAGGGAGTATCACAAAGACAGGGTATTGCATTATATGGGGGTATTCAGATGTGTCATGTGAAAGGTAATGATATTTAAATCATTTTTTCACAGCAACAACTAGAGAATTTAAATATCATAAAATTAAAAGAAACAAGGATTTACTTGTGCTTTCCTGCCACCCTAGTATTCACCACACCTGCTGTTCAGAGGCTTGAGAAGTAGCTAAGTGTCTCAGCTGGAAGTGAAAATTGTAGAGCAGTGGGTGACTAATGTTAGGTCTCTTATGCTTTGGAATTAAGATATGCCATATTTGTTCTTCAGGGAATGTTTGTGAGTCTCTTTCCCATTCATCTTGTTGGTCAGCTGGTCAGTTTGCTGCATATGTCCCTTCTCTACTCACTGTACTGCTTTGAATATCGTTGGTTCAATAAAGGTAAGTACATCTAAAGAAACCTAGAATGTAAAGGCCTAGTTTAGAAATAGCTACTGCTAAGCAGACTACTCTATACTTAAGCCTTTGACAAATCATCTTTGAAAGGAAGTAGCCTTATTGGCAAGAGGGAGCTTACATTTATCTTAGTGAGTTTAATCCTTGAGACTGGGGGAAATGGCAATGTAGAATTATCTTTTTGGTGCTTAATATAACTCTGCCTGGGCCATAAGGTGGCGTAAGTGAGCATGAGTTGCTCTAAATTAGCAAAATTAAATTAATATCAGCATAATTAGATTCTTGCAGGATCTTTTAAAAGACTTTGGCATATTTAGCTGGGTGTGTGTGGCTGAAAGAGGTTATTTCTGCAGGCAGCATCCTTTTTGTTTGAGGTATACGTGTGTGTGTGCATTATTATTTTTTTTTTTTTGCAACTGGGATTGAATATATTTTTATTGTGAGATAGGATTTAAGTTGCTGAGGCTGTCCTCAAGCTTGTGATCCTTCTATCTCAGCCTTCGAGTAGCTAGGATTATAGGCTTGTGCTATGGTGCTTGGCTTATTTGATGTCTTGCTTTGTTCTAGACTAGTTCTGACAAAGGATGCTGGTACTGAAATTCATAATTCTTTCACCCTATCAGCTTTGAAATTGTGATTATTGAATTATAAAACTTTAAAAAAGAAACTTTATATCAGTATTTCACAATTCTATTTTATATGCTATAGCTATGCTCTAGGTGGTAGCTCTGTATCTAAAACCCAAGCCTCAAATAGTTTGCCTATAATAGGTTTTCACTTGATTAAAAGAAAACATGTAGTCGGGTGCTGTGACACATGACTGTAATCCCAGCAACTCAGGAGGCTGAGGCAGGAGGATTGTGAGTTCAAAGCCATCCTCAGCAAAATCGAGGCACTAAGAAACTCAGAGATCCTGTCTCTAAATAAAATACAAAATAGGGCTGAGGATGTGGCTCAGTGGTCAAATGCCCCTGAGTTCAATCCCTGGCATCCTCTCCTGCCCTCCACCAAAAAATTAAATAAATAAATAAGAAGTCTAATAACATTGTTGTCCTTGTTTTAGGAATTGAAATGCACCAGCGATTGTCAAACATAGAAAGGAATTGGCCTTACTACTTTGGATTTGGTTTGCCCTTGGCTTTCCTCACAGCAATGCAGTCCTCATACATTATCAGGTAATTTTACTAGAGAGATTTAAGAGAGACTAGTAAAAATAAAATTCATGTAGCGATTATCTCTTCTTTTCTTGGTTCTATGCCAGATTTCTTATTCAACGATTAGGATACCTGTAAAGATTTTTCTTCTTGACAGCTAGTCATAGACATTTATCAGTTAGTATTAAAATTACTCTGTATGAACCTCTGTCTCAAATTCTTCTGTGCTCCCTCCCAGGGCAGTGCTAAATATTCACAGTGCTTAGAAAAACCTTTTGTTCCATTTGAAAGCTGTATTTGATATGTTAAGACTATCAAGCCGTGATGTTTGCACTGAAGACAAAGGAACTTTGGGCTTTTAATATCTTTCTCAAACTCACGCTGGCTGTTGTGAAGGTGACTAATTATTTCTTTATTCTTTTTCTTTTTTTTTTTTTTTTTTTACAGTGGCTGCCTCTTCTCTATTCTCTTTCCTTTATTCATTATCAGTGCTAATGAAGCAAAGACCCCTGGAAAAGCATAGTAAGTATCAGCTAGTAATGAAATTTTTCAGATTTTTTTTTTCTTTTAAAATAATCTCTTACATTGCATGAAAACTATAATATACAGTTAAGAAGGGAAACATTTCTGGGATAAATCCCAAACTTTCAAACTTTTCCCATGAATATGTGCATATAGATTTTTATATATTTCCTGAATTGATACTATTACCCATAGTCTTTAAAATTTAACAGTCCACTGAATATTAGGCACTGGTGGACATCTTTAGTTAAGCTTATTTTTGTAAGAATGGCCAACTTAAAAAAAAAAATGAGCTGCTAGGCATAGTGGGACATGCTTATGATTGTAGCTATTTAGGAGACTGATGCAGGAGTATTGCAGGTTAAAAGTCAGCCTGGGCAACTCAGGGATACCCTTTTTCAAAATTAGTTTAAAAAAAAAATGCTAGGGATACTAGTATGCATTCATGAAGCCAAGGGTTCAATCCCAGTACCGCCCCCCCCCCCCCAAACAATGGGCTATATCATCTGGTCATATCAATTTATTGATAATATTGTAAAATGTTTAAAAATGAGTTTTTAGCAATAATAATAAGTTTTATTACTTCAAAGGAAAGCTCAGTCACTTTAGTTTTGATCAGTTTTGGTAAGTCAATGAGGATACTAGTATTAGAGAATTTTCAAATCTATTTTGAGTTTTTTCATTCTCTTGCAGGTAATTTTACCAGTGTTTATAATACAAGGGGTAATTGACTTTTTTTTTTTATTATTATGAAATGGTACTGGGGATCAAACTTAGGGATGCTCTGCCACTGAGCTATGTCCCTAACCTTTTTTATTTTGAGACACAGAATTTTACTAAGATGCCCAGGCTGGTGTTGAACTTATAATCCTCCTGCCTCAGCCTACCTAGTTGCTAGGATTGTAGGAGTGTACCACCGTGCCTGGCTTTATTTTATCTTATTTTATTTTTAACATTTGTTTATTTTTGGTGCTGGGGATTGAACCCAGAGGTGCTTTACCACTGAGCTACATCCAAGTCCATTTTAGTTTTTATTTTGAGACAGGGTCTCATGAAGTTGCATAGGACCATGCTAAGTTGCTGAGACTGATCTTGAACTTGCACTCCTTCCGCCTCAGCTTCCTAATTACTTTTTTAAAAAATGGTACTTGCTTGAAACTAACCACAGATATATCTTTGGCTTGAAGTTTGTATCCTGAAATTAGCCATAGAAAAGCACTTTTCAAATTATAATTAATCTAAAATATATAAGCCCCAATAATTCAAAACTAGTGATTCATTGCATTTACAGAAGCTGCAGGACCCAGGTCCCCGCCCCCCCCCCCCCCAAGTGCTGAGGACTAAAACCAGGGCCATGCTCATGCTAAGCAAGCATTCTACCTTTGCATTATAGTCTCACACCCTTTAGTTGCTTGTTCAGCCATGTGTCTGATACCTGTTCTTCCTTGATCAAATTTTAATTATCTTTCTCTATGCAGTTTTAAATTTAATATAGTCAAATAAGCTGTCACATGACTGAATCATTTTGCTAAACTGGAGGTTAACAATGTTGGATCTTTTGCTTTTAGCCTTTTCCAGTTGCGCCTGTTCTCCTTAGTGGTGTTTTTAAGCAACAGACTCTTCCACAAGACAGTCTATCTGCAGTCTGCCCTGAGTAGCTCAACGTCTGCAGAGAAGTTCTCTTCACCGCATCCATCTCCTGCCAAACTGAAGGCTGCTGTGGGCCATTGAGTTGCCTGTCATCTAAAGGGGATGGGTGGATTGGAAAGAAGTTGTGGCAGCTCTTTTCTCTATCCTCTCCTGGCTAGGGAAGGCAGGACCCACTCTGCCAAGGGCCCTTTGTGTATTCCCTTCTCTTTGAGGAATTTTTGTCTCTGGTACATGGGAGGCAGAATCTTTCTGACACCAGTATGTGGATTTTTAATACCACCGTGAGTCTGAAAGGACCACAGGTTTTTCTGCAGCTATTTTCTAGCATTTGCCAGCCCCTGTGCCTGGACTGATTTAAATACTTTGTTTTTCTCCCTGTGCCATTTACCCTCCCACCTCTCCTTCCTGCCTTCTAGCAACCTTGGATGAATGGGTTTTGTAATTCTAGTTGTTGTATTTTGTGGGGTTGTTATTTTTGTTGATTTTCTGTGAAGCACATACATTGGATGTGGGAGGTAAAGGAGTATCTCAGTTGCTCCTTGTTTACTCCCTTTATAGCCATCACTGTCTTGTTTCTTGTATCTCAGGTTAGGTTTTGGTCTCTCTTGCTCTACTGCAAAAAAGTAAAAGAAAAAGAAGCAAAGCAAAAAAAAAAAAAAAAAGAGCCTGAAGAGATGGGACAGAATGAAAGACCTCACAGCCAGATTGGCTGGGTTTTGAGGAGTAATCTTTTTTTTTTCCTTCCCCTTGAAGGGGAAAAAACTTTTTTCACTGGTACATTTAAAGCTCCCCAGCTATGGGGAGGTACCAGTTCTGGACAAGTGCCACTGTAACACAGAAATGCTCAGAGAAGCTGAACTGAACTTTTCAACTCTGGAAAGTGGAAATTTACTGTTGGTCACTGCCGGGTCTTACTGGTATTTCAAAGGAATATTGGGTGCTGCAAATAGGAACTAAAGGGGTAAACTTATTAAACCCATTAAATCTGTGATCAGTGATGTTTTTCTGTCATTTTAAGAGACTAAATATGGGCTGGGAGGGTAGTGGTCAAAATACTTGTACAATTTTAAAATGTCACAATTAAATGTGAGCTGGTTTCCCACAATGTGTCTAATGGCTAAATTTACAAATCATGGCATTGAGAGATGTATTCATCAAACACAAGACTTAGTCTTGGATAATCTGGTTATAGTTTTTAGAGATTAGCTCTGAAAAATGTCCTCTGAGGGAATTTGGGTTATATATTATAATTGTGTGTATATCTTTGGGTTGATTGTTTTAAAGTCTATGTGTATCTTGTGTATTCATGAAGGGAGGAAGGTTCATCTAGATTTCAGTGTACTGAATATGTCATTCATTTGTCAAGGGAAGAGATCAGACATTTGGTTAACAGAAACCTTCACTATGTGTACAGCAAAATAAGGAATTAAAAATTGTTGCTGGGAATTGTAATCTAAGTTTGAACTGCTTATGCAATTGATGGAAGGAGGGTTTTTAAATAGTGGGTATCTTAGAAGTGATTATTATTTCCAGGTTATAAACAAAAAGTTGTGGAAGACATAATTTAAAATATACTTCTAGCATTCCTGTGATACTTTTGGTCATTTGGCAGTATTGCAGAGAAGTACTTCCTGGTTGCTGGGGGCAGGATGGCCATTAAAAAAGATCTTAGTATTTCTTCAGCTTGTAATTGAAGAGTAATAGTTTTATTTAAGTATATTGTTTTAAACTAAGTTTTAGAAATAACTAGTTATTGAAGCAGTCACATCTTTATTGCCTGAAATTTGTTTTTATGCCAAATAGAAGCATCTTCAGTTTAGAAGGTTGAGTGGAGGAAAGTACCTGATTTTATCTCCTGCACTGTGCCTCTCTATGGAAAAAAATTAAGGCTTAGTTATAGAAAAGTGAGGAATTCATAGTTTTATTAAGGTAGTTAAGGCTAAACCTGTAAAAAGGCTAGGTTAGGCATATCTGCAATAATAGAAATTTGACGACTAATTATTTTTCTTGCTTTTTCACTAGGGTATGGGCACTGAGCAGTGATTAGGAAACTGAGGTCAAAGGGAAACAAGGCCCTATTTTTGCCCAGTACAGAATGGCAATTTGAGGCAAATTAATAATTAGTAACTAAAAGCATGGGAACTAAATGAAAGTTACTTGAGATTTAATAACTGATTCAGTAAGATCTGAGGAATTATAAAAGTTCTTTTCAAGAATAGACATGACAGCTTGGACAAGCATGTGATTCAAAACGCTAACCTTTTTATTCTAACTTTACAGTCCAGTTATCCTTTATAGCAACTCTTGAAGAAGTAGAAAGTGAATGCTTCAGATCTGAGCATGTCAGCTAGAAACATAATTTTTTTATTGCAGTGCTTGGGGATTAAATCAGGGCCTTGTGCATGCCAGGCAAGTGCTCTACCACCCCCTAGAAACCTTTAGATAGACAGATTTGTGCCCTGTTTTCTGTTAACTGTTGTGCACTTAATCAAGGCTAAGGTAAAGGATTAAGAGGAATTATGACAAACTGGAACAAATCTAGAAGATGGTAACTAATGCTCAGATGTTTGTAAACCACTTTGAAAAGATTACATCTATGGGCGGGAGAGAGAAGCACAAACAAAAGTTAACTTAAATTCTGATAATTACACAGAAATTTGAAGTTACTATATCCATAAAGTAAGAACAAATTGCTGTGAAAAGGAAATAGAATTATTGGAAACAGTTGTAGAAATTAAAATAAGATGGTTTATAAAAGTGGCACGGAGGAGGCTAAATTAGAAAACTCCAAGATAAAATCATGGAAATTTCCCCAAAGCAAGAAGACATGTAAAAATTATGGTGATATTGAAAAACAAGAAGATCTAGCATCTACTAATAGAAACTTCTGAAAATAACAGAAAAACAAGACAAGAATAAATTCACCCTAGGTTTGAACCCCAATATTAAAAAAAAAAGATGAAATTGTTTTTTTAGAATAAAGAGCTTGTCATGTCTAAAGCAGGAAAAATGAAATAAAACAGATGACTAAAGAAAAAATTACCAAAGAGAAAAATAGATTACCTATAAAGGAATGTGTCTCAGATTGCCATCAGCCTTCTCAAGACAACACTGAATGATAGAAGATAAATTGTAATGCCTTGAAGTATGCTTTTATGTGTGCTTATGTGTATGTATGGGATGGGTAAGACCCATTTTTTTCCTTAAAATTCTAAATTTAGCCATGCCATTAAGGAAAAATACGCCATTTTCAAACATGCAAAGGCACTTTTGGCTTTCCATTCCGCTTTTCTGGAAATAAGTTATTTGAAAGATCTATCAAAAATGAGAAGTCTTATTAAAACACGGAAACAACGTGAAACAACAGTGTGTTGGGAGGAAGTCTCATTCATAAAGCTTTCAAGCACACTGAGAAAAACTGGTGCTGGGGAGAAAAAAACATACTTGTTATTCCAGTGTGCCACAGATAAGATAGAGGTACATGCTTCTTTTGATCAAATGATAGTGCTATAGTTTGGATGTTCACTGTCCCCCAACGGCGGACACTAAAGGCCCCCCTCAACCCGCCACATAAATTCATGGCACTATTGGGAGATGGTGAAACCTTTGGGAGGTGGGGCCTAGTGGAAAGGAAGTTAAGTCATTGGATGTGTTCCCTTGAAGGGAACATTAGGACCCTGGCTCTTCTCTTCCTATTTATTCTGGTACTGGGAATTTAACCCAGGGTGCTCTACCACTGAGCTACATCCCTAGCCCTTTATATTATTATTCAATTTTAAGGCAGGGTCTCACTGAATTGCCCAGGCTAGTCTTGAACTTGGGATCCTTTTTCAGTTTCCTGAGTTGCTGGATATAGATATAGGCTGCCATGCTCAGCTTCTCTTCCTTCCTTTGCTTCCAAGTTGCATAGGGTGAACAGGCCTTCTGTCCTTGGATTTCTGCCTTTTGTGTGCTCCCAACTAAAGACCCAAGTAGGACAGAGCCAACCAATCATAGATTAAAACCTTTGGAACCAAAATAAATTTTGCTCCTTTTTAGTTTTTCAGAGGGACAGAAATCTGACTAGCAGGGATGGAAAAGGTACAGATACTTCCAGAACACCAAAAAGTCTACTTGAAAGTTATTATTTTGAGCAATTGATGGAATAGTAAATACAATGCTTTTTGAAACAACTAAAATCAAAACTTTTGATCAGGAATGAAGAGAATTAACTGATATACTGAATTCATCTGTAATCTGTGGGTTTGTAATTATAGTAATTTTTGTATGATTTAATTTTCCTGACCTTGATTTTATTTATAGATTTTTCTGTGGACCTGTATCAAAAACTCATCCAAGGGTCTGAGGGTATAGTTCAATGGTAGAGTGCTTGCCTAGCATGTGTAGACCCAGGAGTTCTATCCCCAGCACTGCAAAAAAAAAAAAAAAAAAAAAAAACTCATTTAAAAAATAAGCTTAGGTTTTAAACTTTGTTCCTTCATGTTCGTTTTGGTTTTTGAAAAAAGTGGCTTAATTTTATCACCCAGAAATTTAATTATATTGCTTTTAAGGAACATGTTCTAGAGTGCTCACCTAGCTTGTGTGAGGCATTGGGTTTGATCCTCAGTACCACATAAAAGAGGTATTGTGTCCATCTACAACTTAAAAAAAATTTTTAAAAAGTAAGTATAAATGGCCAACAAGTAAATTTTTAAAAAGTGAAAACAATATTTTAAAAAATATTCTTAATATTAATGGTATTTTTTAACTTTAAAGGAAAAAACCCAACCTTTTTTTTTTTTTTTTTTGAAAAAGAAAAACTTGTTTTGAGGACACATTTACTTTAAGTTCTGTAATTTCTGCATGTTCAGCTTTAATTTCCTCCTGTTAAAATTATGTGGAATACTTAATAAAAACAGAAAGATTGGTCTATTCAATCTTAACAGTCCAGGGATGATCCTGGTCATGTGAATTTTGAAAAAGTGCCTTGTGCTTTTAGTATTGGGGATTGAACCTAGGGGTCGAGTCCGGGAGCTTAACCACTGAGCAACATGCCCAGGCTTTTTTTTTTTTTTTTTTTTTTTTTGTGGTGCTGGGGATTAAACCCAGGGCTTTGTGCATGCAAGCTAAGCACTTTACCAACTGAGCTATATCCCTGGCCCCCTTTTTCTTTTTAAGTTGTTTAGGGCTTCACTAAGTTGTTGAGGCTGGCTTCCAATTTCCGATCCTCCTGCCTCAGCCTCCCCAGCCGCTGGGATTACAGGCACACGCCACCGGCTGGGCCAATGCACGCGTTTTTTGAAGCATTAAGTAATGTGCTTTTACCTAGTTTGATCAGTTCACGTTATGGGAGAGTAAATGGGAACATAAGGTAGCGGCAGGGCACCGAATTTGAAGAGTGGCTAAGGCTTCCTTCTTTGGTATAGCCTTTGCCCACTGATGCATGTAGGGAGCAGAAGTGAGTGAACATATTGATGTGTCTGAAAGTTGATGGATTTGGTTGCTTAAATTGTGCCCTCTTCCCTGCTCTCAGCAACATTTTTTTTGGGGCGGGGTGGGGGGCGGGGAAGAGAGAATAGAGGCAAGTTAGGATAGGAAGGCAGCTGTCTCTGGCAAATGTCTTACCGAAGGGTGAGTGAAGGAGGACTGGGCTGTCTCCTGGTTTGGCAAAAACAAACAACACAACAACAAAAAACAGGTCTACTCTTGGGAGAACTTTGCTGGAGGTAACGACTGTCCCTTAGCCGGGCACTGGCGGTTCTTCCATCTTCACGTGGATAGGCCTAGAAAGGCTCTTTCCCAAAACCAGGGGTGGAAGAAATGAAAATGCCTAATGAAACGTTAGGGGTCCCTTATCTAACGTAGTTACCACAGCAAGTAAAAACAGCTCTCGAGCGAATAATTAGATGAATCCTGCACAAGATCGAGCAGTCGGTCTGGACCAGGAAGCGTTTGACTTTTCACGAACAACAGAACAGCTTCCCGCCTCTCCTTTAACCTTTTATTAGGCAACGGTCCATTTCTTCCTTTGAAACAGAAAAGCTACTTCACGATCCCGCTTTTTAAGACTGGTAGCAGCAGTACCTAAACGTAGTTTCCGCTTCTGGTCACATGGCTGCGGTAAACGGACCACACCTTCTCGACGCTACTTCTTCCGGGTCCGCAGTCTGACACGTCACTCCTCGTTCCTCAACCAAACTGCTCCAAGCACGCTCTTTTCTCGCTCTTTGCTTTCACGAACCGGCCTATGACAGCTCGGTGGGAGCACATGGTCCCACCTCTGGACTGATAAATGATAGTTGTACTAACCAATTAAGAAGTGGAATCGTGGCTTGGTCCCCGCCTCCGAGCCTGACAGACAACGTCGTGATCTTATCGCTCTCCCGAAGTGTCTTATTGGCCTGGAGCCAGCCAGTGGGGAGCGGCCAGGGGCGGACTCAGCCGTTGCCAGGGTTGGGTGCACCGCT